CTACCACAAGAGAGTGTGGAGAAGCATTTGTTGCACATGTAAACTTTATTTACTGAGTTGAAACAGTGTGGAATGCAGATTTCTGAATCTCAGAAAATGCTATTAAGTGTTAAATAGTCTTGATGAAACATGGGACATTGTTTCAGCTGTTTTTGAGTGCAAACCAGAACAGGACTTACAAATGGAAGCCTTTAAAGCCTTTTTGATTTCTGAAGGAAACAAATGCCATTTTAGAAGAAGCCATGAGGAGAAATTCCTGAGGTGGGTGGGGGGGAGAGAGAAAAGCAACAGATAGGATGTCTGCAAAGACCAAAGTAATAGAAGAGATCGGATTACAGCCCAGCAAATATTTTCTACAAAGAAAGAAACAGAATAGAAGCAGAGGTGATGTTTCATTTGTGGTGATAAGGCTCATTTAAAGACTGTTTGCAAGGAAGAAAAACAACAGATGGAAAAGCTACTGTTGCAAAAGTTAGCTATTGTAATAGCAGAGACAAATAGTTAATAGACAGACGGGCAAGTCGAACAATTGTTAATAAATCTAAATTGTTTTTCAGAATGGATCCATCTGGAGGGGATGCAGTAGCCTTAGCAAATGGCCAGAAAGCTAACGTCACAGGTAAAGGCAGTGTGCTGATTCCATGTCTGGAGGAAAAGTTTAGTAACATATTATGTGTACTGAAATGAAGCATAATTTACTGAGTGTCTCTAGTCTAGACAAACAAGGTTTTGAGACCACATTTGTAAATGGGAAATGTCTCATAAGAAGAAATGGGAGAGTATGTGCACAGGGCATAAAACAGGATAATCTTTATGCGTTGCAGGGACAAAAGGTTCAATGTGCCCAAACATTTGGGAATATGGCACAACATGATTCATGCATTCATCTCTTGCATAGAAAACTTGGCCATGCCAGTTTCAGAGTTTTTGCAAAAGATGCAACAGTTTGGAGAAGGGTTAAACTTAAAAGGGTATAAGGCATACTTGGACTGTGCAATATATAAGTCATCGAAGTCCAAGGTATTTCCAGTAAGCAAGAGTAGCACAAGGCAGACAAAAAGGGCTATAGAGCTAGTACATGCAGATTTGGTTGGGTCAATGCAAGCCAGTTTGGGAGGAGCAAAGTATGTGCTGGTCATTGTAGATGACTACAGCAGATTTGGTTTCTGCTATTTACTAAAGAATAAAATAGATGTGCTACAGAAATTTTAAGCAATGGGTAAGCTTTGTAGAGATATAAACAACAGGTATGTCAGCTGCAAACTGACAAGAGGTTCAGAATTCATGTCAGCAAGTTTTCAACAGTGGTTGGGACAGTTAGGAATAAAACACAGACACACAAATCCATACACAGCAGCTGAGAATGGTATAGCCGAGAGGCGGAATAGACTCTTACAGACAATGAAGGACTCACTGCTGGAGGATTCTGGTCCAAGCAGGTCATATTGGGGTGAAGCCATGTTGATTGCTAATTATTTAATCAATAGGCTATGGAGTTCATCTATTAATGGTACTCCATATGCTGTACTATATGGGAAAAAGCCATCTCTGGCACATTTAAGGGTGTTTGGAAGCAATGCAAGGGGACATATTCCAAAAGCAATCAGAAGAAAAGGTCAACCAAAGGCTAGAAAGCTCAGGTTTATGGGCTCAAAGAGCTATTGCTTTAGTGATGGGAGCAAGAGAATAGTGATTTCTAGGTCTGCTATTTTTGCAGAGCAAAATTGGAACAGAATTGATGCCAATTTTTGGAATGATCCACTTAGTGACAGTGGCCCACTTAGTGATGGTAACCCACTTAGTGAAAGTGTCAGCATTCAGGGAGGAGAAACTAAAAAAGAACTAGAAAAGGAGTCAGGAGAAGATGGTAACTCGGAGGTGAAGCAAGAGAGGGTTGAAACTCAAGGAAGTCAATGCCACACAGGTCAGAGCGATGGAACAAGAGGATTCCACCTGAAAGGTATTCTGCTAGTTAAGTAAAGATATGTAATGTGTGAAATGAGCCAAGAAATTATCAGGAAGTATTGGCACTACCCAAATGTAAACAAGTGAAGTGGAAAGAAGCCATTGACAATGAAATGAAATCATGGGTGAACATAAAGTGTTCACATCTATGACTTTCCACAAGGTTGCAAAGCCATAGAATGTAAATGCATGTACAAAAAGAAAGTGCTACCCAACAATGAGATCCAATATGAAGCAAGATTAGTGGCACAAGGTTTTTCACAAAGGAAAAACGTGCACTATGATGAGGTATTTGCACCAACTGTAAAGAGTGAAAGCATAAGTTGCACTAGCATTGGCAGTGGCACGTGGCCATAAAAGTTAGCATTTTGATATAACCACAGCATTCCTCAATGCAGAATTAGAGGAAGAAATTTACATGGTTCAAGCACCGGGGTATGAAAGTAAAAAGCTTAACACTATATAAATTGAAGATAAATTGTGTATAAATTGAAGAAGGCCATTTATAGGTTGAAGCAGTCAGCCAGGAATTGGAATATTTGTTTAGATATGGCACTGAAGGATCTTGGATTCAAGAGTTGCAAGGCTGATGGTTGCATATATACTGGAAAGTTACAAGGTGGGGATTGTCAATTATTAGCATGTGTGGATGATCTTTATTTCATTGCAAAGGATTTGTCACAGAAAAATGAATTTGCTAATCGATTAGAGAAAAAATTGAATTGATTTGGGTGAAATACAAAACAAACTTGATGTAGAGATATAAAAAACTGAGAAAGGTGGTTATGTTCTCAGTCAAAGAAGAAAAATTGAACAGCTGTTGGAGAAATACAACATGAAAGATTGTAATTCTGCTTCAGCATCAGATTTTCACAACAATTTAGGTGAGGACAAAAGTGAAGCCTGTGTTCAAGAGATATATCAGTCAGCAGTAGGAAGCCTGTTATATCTATCACAGTGGTCCAGATCAGACATAGCTTGTGCTGTAATCATTTTAAGTCGCTTTACTGCTGCACCAACACAATTGCATTGGACGGGTGTAAAAAGGATTCTCAGGTGTTTGAAAGGAACTGTGAATTTGGGTCTTCAAAACAGGACTCTGAAGAATTAAAATTGAAATGTTATGTTGATAGTGATTATGCCAATGATGTAAAAACCAGGAAGTCCAATTCTGGGAATGTGATATTATTTAGAGGGGCTTTAATTGGTTGAAAGTCCAGAAAACAAACAACTATTGCCATTTCTATGGCAGAGGCAGAATTTATTGTTCTATCTGAGCTTTGTTCAGAGGTAACTTGGTACATACAACTGTAAAAGGATTTAAACATAAAGGTAAATGAAGCTGTAATGGTGTTTGAGGATAATGCTGTTTGCATAAAAATGGCAACAGGTGACAGAGAAAAGAATAAAAGCAAGCATGTGGATATTAAATATTGTAATGTAAGAAAAGCCATAAAATGTAAATTAATTAGCTTGCTTCACTGTTCTTCAGAAGACAATCTGCAGATATAATGACCAAGCCATTGAGTGGAATGCACCATGGGAAGAATATTGAGTAATTCGGTTTTATGTCTATTCCAGTCATAAAGGGAGGAGTGTCAGTGTGCAAGAATTTTGAGCTGGGATAGCCATAACAGTAAGTTAGCCAATGGGAACTGTTTCTCATCTGCCATCATCAGGCTTCTGTATTGTGTTCGTCTGTGAGTCAGACTTTCACAGCCGTTTCTGTTTTAAGTTTGGTGCTAGCCTACACTGTGCCAGAATGGTTTTTTTCTTCATCCTGATTGGTTGGGAGTCTTGGTCTGTGTTTATTGGTCTTGGAGTTTGCTGTGTTCTGCTTGATTGGTGTTTCTAATATCTTCTGTCTGTTTTGTAGCTTTTTTTGTCTTGATTGGCTGGCAATATTGTGTTTGCTGTATTGGAGGCTTTTAGTGCGGCTTGGCTCCAAGTAAATGGACAGCTACCATTTATTAGGAAGCTAGGTTTCATCTGGGTGCCTGGTTGGGGTGTGTTTGAGCTGGAGGTATGAGGGGGAGTCTATTTGTGCCCAGGTGTTTGCCTGGCTTGTGGTGTGGAGATTTTTTTGTTTGAGAGTGCAGGCTTCCAGATAATTGACAGTCTGGTGGAGTCATCTCTTCTATTCATGCTTTCAATTATTTTTTCAATCTCTATGGCTTCTCTGATAATTCTGTAGCTGGGGTTTTCTATAGTGGCTAGGGTTTTGGTGCCATTGAAGTCGATGCTATGACCTGTGGCTTTCATGTGTTGGACTAGTGAGGAAGTGTGTTCCAACTTTTTGACTGCATTTTTGTGTTCACCTAGGCGGGTACTTATTCTTCTATTGGTCTGTCCAATGTATGTGGCAGGGCATGATGCACAGGGGACTTCATATATGCCTTGGTTTTCCAGGTCAATTTTATCTTTGGGGTTTCTTAGGATGGCTGCTATTTTTCTGTCTGTTTTGAAGGCAGTCTTGATGTGATGCCTGTGTAGTATCTTAACTGATTTTGTCCGTAGTACCTCTTATGTAGGGCAGGACAGCTGCTCCATAGATCTGTTCATCTTCTAGATCTCCATTATGTCTCAGTGTGTTTTTGTGGATCAAGCCAGTGATTTTGCTTTTGTGGAAGCCGTTGGCTGTCAGTACTTTAGTCAGGGTGCATAGTTCAGTCTTTATGTGTGTCTTGTCTGCCAGGTGTTTGGTTCTGGCAATTAGTGTTTCGGCACTTATGATTGTAAGTGCAAACCATTCTTCCAAATGGTTTACCATTTACCATAAACTGGCAAAAAAGATTGCAAATCCTGATCATGTGGCTGTAACTGGTCATAAATGTGAGCTGGTTGCCAAGTGCCCAAATTGCAATCATGTGACCATGAGAATGATGCAATAATCATAACTGCAAGGAATGGATTTATTTCAGTACCATTGTAATTTTGAACAGTTGCTAAATGAATGGTTGTCAATCAAGGACTACCTAAATCAAATTTCAACTTTCATATTTGTTTCAGATTCAGAGGAGTATATTCATATTTACCTTTTGAAGTGATCTGCCATGACTCCAATCAGCTCCCCAATTCTGTTTTCATTAAGTGAACGCATATTGACAAGGCAAACAATTAGATCTTTGTTGTCTTTTGTATGGAAAATCACAAGCTGATCCTTTCCATTAGAGACACTCAGTCCTGTTAGCTGCATGAAACAAGAATGTTAAAGTTAGTGATGTTTTATGCTCTAGTATGTGCTTTATAGACTAAAGGCAAGGGTTTTTAGAGTATTTGTTGTGTCTCAAGGAAATCTATCATACAATGGTTCTCTTAGGCCAGATTCCCACAGGTAATTAACCATAGAACAATTCAGGGGTGGGATTCAAATTTTTTAACAACCAGTTCTGTGGTTCATGTTATTGGCTGGGCGTGGCCAACTCAATATCACACACATTGAGGCACGCATCTCCTCGCCTGGCCTCTCATGACTGTGGGGATGCTGCAATAGTCGTAAGTGTGGAAAATGGTCATAAGTCACTTTTTTCAGTGCCATTGTAACTTTGAATGGTCACTCCATACAAGCAAAGTACCAGCAAAGGAGGGAAAAAAAACTCCAGAGGAGTTCCAGAGACAGGAAGTCTAGTCCTGCCAAGAATGTAATAAAGTTAATGGAGAGGCAGTTTCTGTAAGCAATACCAGAATGTTTCCTTCCTGCTTTCCTTACAGGATTAGGCCAGTAATCTCTTCTAACAACCGGTTCTCTGAACTGCTTAGAATGTTAACAACCAGTTCTAGCGAATAGGTGCGAACTGGTAGAATCCCACCCTTGGAACAATTGTGTCCCAACAATATCAATTTTCCCATGTCACTTTGTCATTGCCCTTACCATCTTGTCCCCAGTCCATGAATAAGAAGATCTTGAGTGATAATTAGCTCTACTACACGGGTGTCAAACTCATTCTGTCACATTGCCATCACGTGATGTTTCGTGTCTTTTTCCCCTTTGCAGACCTGGGGTGGGCGTGGCCTGCGCATGACACATCCAGCCCCTAGGCCACCAGTTTCACACCCCTGCACTACTGCTGTTAAATATTATCCAAAAGCCTCAATGTTAAAATATAACAAAAGTATACACATACAAGAGTGTTCCACTATATTTAGGTCAGGGATCACCAACCTTTTGGACCTCAGAGACCACCAAACTCATAATTTTAAATCCCGCAGACCACTAATATGAATTTTGACTGACGGTGACTTGCTGACATTTATGGGAAAGTTGGTCCCATATTCCAGAGCTGCAATAGTCACAGAACTGGCCCTTTGGTCATCCCGGAGCAACTGCTCCTCCACTCAGGTGCACCAGCCTGCCATGGACTGGAGGAGATGCTCTGGGATGACCAAAGGACCAGTCTTGTGACTACTGCAGCTGTGGAATATGGGACCGACTTTCCCACCAATGTCAGCAAGCCACCCTGGGGCAGATTTCCCTCCCCTGCCATTGGTCTTACCTTCCAGTTCTAGCTCACATGGCTCTACTCAAGGTAAGTTTGCGCCTGGCTAAAGGGTGGGGGCCAGTGGGTGGGTGGGCCATGTGGGCAGCACAGCCTTGTGTTCCCGCGCAGCCTGGATTAATTGCTTTGGGGGGAGTGCTTGTGGGAGACATTTTTCTGCAGACCACCAAAATTTTCTTGTAGACCACCAGTGGTACCCAGCCCACCTGTTGGTGACCACTGATTTAGATTATCCCAACCATTAATTTCTTAAGGAATGTAAAGAGACATCTAATTTCATGATTAGATTCTATTGAAGCTCAAAAAGAAAATGCCAGTTTAATTGCTTTGTGATATACTTTATAATACATTAATCCACATTCTTAATATACCAAATTGATTGCAGTAATTAATCTTGGCTCATTTTAACAGAAATTGTGTAAAGCAATAGTAATACTATGTACAACTTTTCTTTTCAGTAAAAACAGTAAATTATACATTAGCAAATGAAAACTTTTAAATATAGCACACTCTTGGCTAAATATAAAATGAACATATTTCTTCCATATTTCAAAATTTCCTCCATCTTGGAATTTTTATCTTGCAACAACAACAACATCATCATTGTCTTCATCCAAAAACAACTGTTTCAATTTCTAGAAGTCAAAGACAACCCAATAAATATTTCTCCTTGGTGATATATCCCTTTTTAAAAAGGTGAGAAGTCACACGTATAGCTTCCTAAGCTAGAAAACAAGCTGCAGAAGAACCAGACATCCGCTGATGCCTGCTATGGCAACAGGTTCCATGGGAATATTGCTATGCTGACAAGGAACCTTTAGAAACCATGATAGTGACATGGGTTGATAGACAAATGAAGCTCAGCAAGACTGGTATCAGTACAGACACCGTATATTATTTAAAATTAAAAATGAGATGTATGAGAGGAAGAAGTAGACATCAATAATTTAATATTATTCTGTTCACAAAATTTCTAAGGAAACTAATTTCCAGGGCTTCTCCAGAAAAATAAAAGCTACAAACAATATATTAACCATTTATACTATGAAATAGAGTGGATAAAAATAAATGATTGATGTTTTTCAACTTAATAGCAATTTAAAACCTTGAAGCGGTTTATTATGATTTTTTAAAGTATTTCAATATAATGAGGAAAAAAAAACACTCTACTGGGCAAAATCACCCACTAGGGGCAACATGCTGAGAATAAGTGTTGCTAAATGTGCCCCATTGATGCTAAGGAACTAGACTAGCTGTATCACAGAGTACATAGCAACCATTATTGAAAACATTCCCATATCCAACTAACGAAGAGAAGACGGATTTTATTTGAATATGCTAGTCATTTCATTTGTTCCTCTCAGTTGCTTTTTATTCAAGTTATACTGGATCTGCTATATGCATTCTTATAATTAGCAAAACTGATCCCAGCAATGGCTAAATTATGTTTTTACTGGAAATTTTAAGCCTTAAGATGAAGCTAGGTGAAGCCACCCAAAATGCAGTTCTAAATATTTTAAATGCCTTCATTTCTTCTCTAAGAATTCTTGTTCTCATTAAATTTAAATTCCAGATTTCCTTGGGGGAAGTCAAGGTTATGGTTAGATAAGAAGGACCAGTATATAAACTAAACAAATTATAAATTGGTTGGAAGTAAGCTTGATGGAGCATCAACTCCACATATCTGCCTTAAAGGAATGAACATATGCTAAAAGAAAAAAAAAGTCTGACTAATTTTGAAAAGCCACTATATAAGATGATTTCATTAAACTTTTCACTGTAAGAATGTTAATGTAGCATACAGAAAGCTGATTCTCTGTTGGTCATAAGTAAGCCAAAAGTAACTATTACGAAGGAAGAAACTATTTAAGAAGTTTCTCATTGCAACTAAAGTAATTTGTCTATCTGCATCTTCAAGAGAAATCTCATAAACACTGAGATTTTAGCCCTATCATGAGGTAGACGTTTTTGAGAATCAAAAATGGACCATCCTAGTTATCTTAAAAATAAATATTTTTTCATTTTCTCTCTTCTCCCTCTCTCTCCCTTACAGCTACTTAGCATTTTCACTCTTAAGTGTCAAAAAAATCAAGCTATTTGAATATAATCTGGCATATTTTAATTACTACTCAAGACAAGTCATTCCCAAAACAGGCGAAACTTTAACAATAAATTATAATTGAAGAAATTTATTTCCCACCCTAAGGCATCCACCTAGCTCCTGAAAGAATTGTTTACGATATGAAGGAATAGAGCTTGCAGATGATATCACTGTTTTTGCTTTAAAATAAATTCTGACCTTTTAACTTGGGAAAACCCACCATGCACTAAGCTACTGTGTGAATATACAGCAGGAAAACTGAGCAATATAGCAATACAGACCAAAGGATTGCCATGACAATGGGAAATGGCAGGGGAAAGTCAGTAGATATTATATGATTATGCTGAAGAGTATGGAGATCATAATGCACGAATAGGTACAATAGCTAAAAGCAAAATTTAGATAAGGATTTCAAGATCTACTTCTCTGTTTGGGATTGCCAACATTATTTTAAGATGATCACATTCTGTTAAACCATGCTGAAATTTTCAACCATTGGAAATTATATATAGCAAGAAAACAGTACAACAAATGGAAACTTTCTTGTTGTATAACCACAAAAAAATTATTAAGTTACAATGCATAAAAAATAAATCCCAAAGAAAATATCTAGGAAGCTAACAGAGTAATACTTACATTATACAGTGGGATAGTTTTCATCACTTTGTAGTACTTTATAGGGTCCATCTTATAAAGATGCCTGTCAGTTATAAAAATAGCTCGATCTTCTACCTTATTGAAGCGGTTTATCTGCAAATAATCAAAACTCACACTAGTATTACAATTATTTTCTTAAAAACAATATATTACGCACAAACTGAAAGAATTATTGTTGTAAAGACCTGAATCTTGATCTGCATTATATAGATATCTCATTTGAAAATAAGACTGCTTACTGGAATTGTTGACATTGAAATTTTATTATTTCAACATCAACAACATGTATTAGAGTTCTGATAACTTTTTTTTTATTAGCGCTTTGAAGTCCAGGTTGCTATAAAGGAAATCTGACAAATGCTTCCTTAAAATGTTTACATTTTGCTTTAAACAATTGAATTTTATTTCAACAATATGGATAGAAAATAGTATTATAAAAATTAGTACAAATCTGTATATTTTTTATTCAGCCTTTTGTAACAATATCAGTTTAAGGTATTCTTTTGACATAAAGAACACTGAACTACCCCAGACTTTAGACTTGCTTCAGATTTATATCATCATTCACCAAAAGTTGTGATTTTTGGATCTGACAAATTTTCTTTATTTTGGTCACACAGCTGTGGAGTACTCTTCTAGGGCTCAGTCTAGGGAGCAATAAAAGACTAACCAAAAACAGATTTTTTAAAATAATCTGGCCATCAGTTAATGGAGTGAAGGAAATATTTTGCCACTGATTAATCACTGTGTGCTGTTATCGTGAAATGATGGTTGTTTAGCAGACAGAGTGTCAGATATGAGAAAGAGAAAGAACAGAACATTTTAGTCTTGTTTTCTGAAACTTTCTCTAATCTCAATAAACTGACCTGCCTTGTTAGCAAAGCATCATATTTAAATCTCACCCCATTTCATTATTAGAAATATCTGTGAATTAATCCAAAATAAAGGAGCTAACTCTATATAGTATTTGACTTTAAAAGCTAGAAAATGAAACCTACACCATGGCCCTCATACAGAGTTCATGTTCAGGAAATAACTCCAACTTTTGTTTCTGGTATTTTAGAAACAGGATATAATGAGGACTCCATGTTGAGAATTGTAATTAGTGGAAAATAGAGCAGACAGATTACTTTCTAGCACCGCTCTATTGATATACACCAGCTTTTCATGAACTGCTCTAACTGCTAATTATTTTTGTGACACATTTCAAGATGTTCAGATCCTATTTATAAAGTCTCAAGTAGATTGGGAGCAGGAATACCTGACACACTGCCCACAAAGAGCCTTCTGTATACTCCACAATCAAGGCGGACTAATTTGGCAAAGAAGCAGGACAAAGTTTCTTAGAGATAGGTCCTGTCAAACTTTGCTCCCTATAGGGCTCTTGCTGGAGAGCCTCTATCCATTCAATTTCAAAAACACTAGACATATTTTTAACCAGTGCATCTGAGACAAACAGCCTTCAAATCAAGCAAGATTGGTTCCCAGCTACACAGTGTGTGAGGTCTTTTCAAATGGGTACTGCAGTTTTTTATCTCTCCATCATCACAATTTTGAAATTTTGTTAGAACTTAAATTTGACCAGGCTGCATGTACTATCTCTGCTGGACATCACAAGAACACTCCTCATAGGTAGTTCTCAACTTATGACTATTCCTTTAATGACTGAAATTATGATGATGTGAAAAAAGTGAGTTACAACCAGTCCTCAACTTAAAACTGCTGCAGCATCCCCAACGTTTTATGATCAAAATCAAGATGCTTATCCACCAGCATGTATTTACAATATTTGCAGTATCTCAGGATCATGCGATCACCATTTCTAACCTTCCCAGGGGGCTTTTGACAAAGTCAAAAGCTTTTGAAATCAGGTTCAATTAATGACTGCATGGTTTGCTTTAAATGTTGCTGTGATTTGCTTAATAATTGCAGAAAGAACTGGATAGTAATGATGTCTGATAGGATTTTCCATGTTGTGGGAAAGCAGGTTATTGTCAGATTGGATGGTATTCTTCCCTAGTGGGGTTTTTTCATAATGAGCATTGTATTTCCTTGTGTTGGCCAGTTTGACTGAAAGCCTGCTATGCTGCTAGGTGTCAATTTCTTTAGCCAGCAGCATGGTTCATGTTCAGGCAGCTGCTGTCCAGCTCTTCATGTTCTTGATCCACTATTGGATGTATGATATGTTATGGTAACTGGTTCCCGTTCTGGGAAATTGCTGTGGCCTGCTGCTACTTTGAAGCCAAGGAAAGGATGAAATTGCGAATTTGACTACTTTATTTAAAGAAAAGAACATAAATACTTTTGTTTCCACATGGAAATCGCTTCTGAACTGTGTGCTTGATGTAAAAAAGAATAAAACTTTGATTTTGGGTTTTACATATTAGATTTTTATAGAAATGACTGGTTCAAACTATTACGGTAAAACAAAAAGTTGTGATTTGTTGTTAATGCCTTATTCTACTGTAACAGACAGAGTCGGAAGTTAATGTTTCTTTTTCTTTTCCTATACTTCCTCACTTTTCTTTCCCCTTTTCCCTTCCCCCTCACTATCTTCTTATTTGCTTTTGTATTTTGTATTTTATAATACCTTATAACTTAATAATTAAAAAAAAAGAACCTTAAGGAAGATATTTTTTCTTCCAATTACAATTTCCAAGTTTATCCTCACCTAACATTAAATATAACCTGCTCAGATCTCTGTGGTTCTGTGTTGTTGTTTTTTTTGCCCATTCCTCTTCCACTATTACCTTTCATTCTCGTTATTGCTATATGCTACTTACTTTCCTGAAAATTAGTTGTCCAGTCACTTAGTCACTTCCAACTTTTTGTGACTCAAAGGACATAAATTTTCTGGAATTATTTTTTAGTAACTGTTTCTTTCAGTTCTTGTGAGTCAATGCTTATGTCACCAATGATGCACCTGGCTACTTTATCTTTTATCAGACTCTTTTTTCTGTTAAGACTCTTTTTCACTTGCCTTCCAAACCTTTTCCAAAAATCACAGTCTTCTCCAATGACTTGACATGCTTGTCCAAAACATCTAAACTTCATTGTAAGTGCTCCTAGTGAATAGTATATTTTTATTTTATAAAATATTTAATATATTTAATATAATTTATTAATTAAAGAACAAGCATGCCTATTTAAAAAAAATCTAAAAAGAGGTGAAGATTGCAACAGAAACTTTCATATGTACTATGCTAAACAAAAAGAGGCTGTTGACCTGTTACGCATTTCAAAAATAACCATTTCCCCCCAAATTGAATCAAAGGTAAATATTCTATTACAACCATTTTCCATATCAGAGATCTTATAATGGATCCTCTGAATTTTTACAATATTGTGCCATGGCCTGTTTTGCCACAACCATTATGAATCTTATTTTTAGTTTTTGAGCTTTCTCACTAAATAAGACAGTAAATATGTCTTGGAATCATCCTCTACGTCCTATCCCTCTTCTGAATATTGTTTGTTACACCTAGCAGTTATTTTTCCATGTGCTTTTGAATATAAATGGCAAAACCTTAACAATTGTCCTATTTGAGTAGAAAATAAGTTGAACTAGATATGAGCATTCTTTAGCAGTGCCCCATTTTGTACCCGGAATACAAATCTTATATTTTCAAGTCTTGGACATTTTACCTGAATTATCTTTGATTTTTGGTCTCTGATCAACTTTCGTAGCATTGATATTAGCAATATTTTCAAGGATCCATTAATCCAACTTCCAAAATTTGTCTCTAATTCAGTGATCAAATATTTACACGGGGGTGGGGGGAGGAGGAGAGAGAGAGAGAGGGAGGGAGGGAGGAGTATTTGCACGGAAACACACAGTAGGCATCTCTTCTGCACAGTTCTTCTGTATATTAATACAATTTCTTCTGTAAATTTTCTCCAATAGGTCTTTGCATTCTGGATCTTTTTTTGTGTGTGCCCAACTTTGCAGAAAAAATCCCCTTGATTTCTCTTACTTTTCTAAAGATATTGCATGCCCTTCCCATTCAACTATTACTCTCAATTTCTTTGCATTGCTTTTTAAATATACCTCCTTGTCACTGATGGCTATCTTTTATGGTATTGGCAATCCTTCTGTTAAGCAAATGGCAACCCAGGAACTATTTCTGACTGGAATTCTAAAGTCTCGCTGGGTGCAAAGGCGGCAGAAAAATTCAATTTATTTTCTTAAACAGTAGATCTCTCCTGAAGTAACTTTAAAATCATTCTTGAAAATGCTTGTAAAGATGAAAAAGAGGAACTTTTCAGTTGCAAGAAAAAGAACCTTGACAACAAACAAAAAGGCAAGTGTAGTATTTTGTTTGCAACCATTACTTCTCTGTATCTAATTAATATCTAACTTGCTTTGCTTCCGTTACCATGTTTACTACTAAAATTAATATGGAAAAATACAAAGAGGAAGTAAAAAAAACTATCGATGTGCTAGTTGAATGTCATTAAGATGTACATCTTCTGGCCAAATTTATTGAACAAACATGATCAAAATCAAGGGCAAGGCTGTCTAAATATATGAGTAGGTAGATTTGAAAGAGTCAGTTAATTGTCATCCAGTTATTCAAAGGATGTAACTTTGCATACTACATTAATTAACTGAATATGATGGGACAGGCCCTGTTTCCCTAATCTTGTTCATATCAAGAATTTCAAAATTTAATGTGCTAGAAGTAACATGAAAAGCATCTTCCAGTTTTTTGAATCTAGGAATTCTTACTTTGTGCAAAATCATGCAAGTAATTATTGGCATTGTTTTTATTTTGCTCTGGATTGTTATCACTTGAATCGTATCAAGTTATAGATCATATGTAATGACCAATGCTCACACAGGCTTCCAAGAAAACAAGGACTTCACAATTTCTTGTAATACCAGCATCTTGACTTACATATAAGGAGCTGTCCTTTGTACTGAAGAAAAGAAGAAAGCTTACATTCAAATGATGATGTATTGCATCTTTATTGGAAAGTTTTGAACATACCAGTAGTTCTTTCCCAATATATTTGACAAAAGGGGAACCTGAAGAGTCCAAGACCATTAAATGCTATGTTTTCTTTTAGTGCAAAATGATTTTGCACAGAGAAACACAGAAAGGAAGTTCTTTTTTTCCAAAACAACCACCGGAGTGCTTTTAATCAAAAATAATTCCCAAGAGTTCCAAAGTCACCAAACAATCCAAATAAGCTATTTCTTTTAATACTTTTTTCTTTCTTCCATTTCTCTTTCCGGGGTTGCTGTTTGATCAAAAAGTTCCAATTAAGATATATCTTTTAGAAGTCTTATTAATATTCAATAGCTCTTTAAAATTCTAGGCAGTCTCCTCCTTGTTTAAATTCTGCTCCAATTTTTTTCCCTCTCCCTTCCCACTTACAGCAAAAAGATTTTCCTTTAAATATTCAGAAATCCATACCTCCAATGCGAGTTTTCCAATTTCTCTTAAAGTTCTATCGCTGTCACGCTCGGAAGGAGAGTGAAAAGACAAAAAGTTTTTCCTTTAATTTCCATTTGCCGCTTGACACATTCTGGACACAATGTATCTTTAATAAGCTTTAAATTCCAGGGTACTTTCACTGTTACTTTGTCCCGGTCAGCAAAGATCACTTTCATTTCTTGACAGCTCCTCCTGCACTTTCTTTTTCCGGCTGAGCTCTTCTATGTGGCGGCCATTGCTGACCGCCGCTCAGCTGCCTTTGGAAAAGGGGGTTTAGCTGGCTAGGGAAGAGAGGTGCGATGTCTCTCGACCCTGCCAGACCCCCCCTGTCTTCGCCACCTTCTACGGAGGTGGCTTAGCCCCAAAGCCAAATGGCTCGGGGCACTCGGGCAGTGAACACAGGCAGAAACCGCACACAGTCGCGGATTCCTGCCTGCTCCGAAGCGCTGCAGACCGGAAATCTCTTTCTCTTTACAATGGCATTGCTTGTGGATGAATTAAAAACTGAATATAAAAAATATAAAAAAGAAGAACAAGATGGGAAAGATACTTTGGGCACTCTTTCAATTTTTAAAAATGGCGGTATGTACCTATGAAAAATTGACTGCGCAGCAGGATGACTGGGATAAAGAAGAAGCCATCTTTGATGAACAAATGATCCTATTTGGGGAGGAAGAGAAAGAGGAAAAGAAAAAGGGGATTTTAAGGCCTGAAAAAACAACCAAAAAAGAGAAAAATGAGGTGAAAGGTGGATACAAGGTTAGAAAACAACAGTAAGGAGGAAAGCAGAAGAAGAAAGGGGAGGAGGAGAGACAAAGGGGTAAAAAGGGCAAGGAGAAGAATAAGCAAGGGAGAAAGGAAGGGATGAGAAGCCTTAATGGTGGGAAGCAAGATTTAAAGAAACAAAATTCATTTAGGGACAATGGGTAAATTTAATTGAAAAAGGGATTCTGTAAGGTACATAAGATTGTGTTTTTATATGTGTATTTAGAAAAAACGTTTAAGATATAAATGAGTATTAATATGTATGATTAGTTTTTTAATGGCATTGATAGTGGTCTTATATACTTATAAATATGTTTTTTGTTGTTGTTGCTGTTTTTTTCTTTTAAAATACATTGTGTAATTTTAGAATGTACTAAACAGAATCCCAATATAAGTTAAGTGTTATATTAAGTATTATTAAGTTAGGAGAAAGAGTTAAAGGCGTCATACTCCAATCAGTGTACAGGAGAAGTTTGTTTAAAGAGAAAAGATGAATGGATAGCTGGAAATAGAACAGACAAAGAATGATAAGTATTATGATTTGAACTGAGATGAGATAAATAAAATAAAATCAAGAAAGATAAAAGAGGGAAGAAGCTATATAGAAAATTGAAAATGGTAACAAGATATGGAATGGTATATAAAATGAATATGATTTTTGAATTTCTGTCTGTACGAAGAGTTTTAACCCGGGATCAAGCAACTTTCAGAAAAGATGTTTTATGTTTTTATGTTCTACGTTTTGTTTGTTTGTGTATTGTTCTTGAAAAGCAATAAAATTTTAATTAGCAAGAAATATAATTTGAATAATAGAATGAAAGGGAGAAATAAAGAGAAGTTGGGATAAGATGCGAAGTTGAACAGATAACGTAAATATATATATTATAATTTGGAATTATTCTGTATGTTCTATTGGTTTCTTCAGAAAAGATCTTTTATATTATTATGCCTTGTTTGTTTGTGTATTCTGTTGTAAAAACTAATAAAATTTGTTTTAAAAAAAAGAAAAGAAAAGAAAGGAAGTTCTTCAAGATACAACCAACTATCCTGGAAAAAAGCTGAGAAAAATATACAGTATATACAGTAATAAGGCTTGGTACAGATACTAGTTTTATCTGTATCTTCCTGATTTATTGTCATTGCAGTCATGTGAATCACAACATGCCTTTTGCTTGGTAATATAATATGCTCATGCAGAGGGAGCATGCTGAATATCACTTCAAAAGATTAAGATTATTATTACTGATCATTGTTTTGCGGGGCCTCGTGGAAAAGTTCAGCAAGGGGAGAATAGAAATAGATTCTAAATATCATTTGAGAAATTATAAAATGTTAGAGGACAAATGAAGCTACACAAGTAGATTACTGATGAATTACTTCAAAATGGTCTCAGCATGTTAATGGAACAATGTCTTAATAAAAGGAAGAGTCCTACAGCTCTTTTATTCAAAGAATCCTTTCAGCTTAATACACTAAACTCTTATTTAAAAGTCTTTCTGAAGGTTTTCAGTAAAAGGGTAAACAAATTATATTACCTGACAGCTTTTAAATTGAGATATTGTTTAGGCTTGGCAGAAATCATGATATACTAGTACCAGAGCAGTCACTACATCAACAGGTTGTACAGATTCCTGCCAATTCTGCCTCAGAGCCATAATTTATCCTCATTGCTTCACCATCCAGGTGCACCAAAATAGCTAGGCTTCCATTAGGCTTTCTATTTCACCATTCCACTACCTTGGCAACTAATTCTTTTCTAGTCTTCTAATAATTGCTATTAGCATATTCTATGTTCAGAACAATGTAGCTGGAAATATTGCTGCTGTTATACAAGTGCTTTGTACCATCAGTGTGTTCCAAATGATACACCAGCAATTTATCCAAGACTAATACATAAGGCACAGAAAAGCTTGTGACAAATACACAAGGATACACCCTAGAAATCATTGACTAGCAGTAACACAATGAGTATCCATTATGAATGTAGGGAGTCTGTACCTATGCTTTGCATGTTATATTTCAACAAACATGGACTTATTTCTGATACCGACAATGAGCAAAAATAAAGAGGAAAGATAAATATGTGAGAAAGCTAAAGTCATAGAAAGGATTTTATGACAGCAAAAAATAATAGACATTGGCTTTGGAATTCATGATAAGAACAAAAGAAGGCTGTTTTCATCAAACAAGTTACATGGCAGAATACATTCTGAGACCCAGCACTCTAGAATAGGGGTGTCACACTCCATCCTGTTTAGATCTGGCTTGCAGGCCTGCTCTAGAAACAGAAAGGGACCGGCCCATGGTGCCTCTGCCAGTAAAAACTGAGTTCGGGAGGGCTGCATGGAGCTCCATTTTTGCTGGCAAAGATTGCAGGAGGCTGTCACAGCTGGAAACGGAGCTCGGGAGCCCATTTTTGCAGACAGAGCACTCAGGGCACAGGCTCCCCTGACATGAGTGCCATCGAGCTGGCCATGTCCACCCTGGCCCTCCAAGGTCAAACACAACCTGATGTGGCCATCAATGAAATCGAGTTGGACACCTCTGCTCTAGAAGACATGAATTGAGCAAAGCAAACAATAGGGCTGATGGAAATCATGATTTTTATTATTATTTTTGTCTTTTAATGACCCTATAATCCCTTGCATCAGGGTGGAGTTGGGGTAACAGAATGGCCAGATGCCCTTCCTGTTGCCAATGTAGAGTTCACAGCTGATATTTACTTCTTGTGCTGAGAGAGAGAAATATCTGCTGCTGCCTAGGATCAAACTCACAGCCTCCTGATTGTGAGGCGAGAGCTCCACCTCTAGGCTACTGCCCCACTCATGGAAATCATGGTTATGCAGAGAATAAAAAGAACTTAGAGGGAGTTAAGTGCGTTACAGAGCAGAACACTTTCAACTCTGAAGATGCCAGCCATATTGATTGGTGAAATGTCAGGACACCAAATAATTAAACCATGGCCTAATTACCCAGAAAGTCATCACCACTGAACTAACTTACTATTGTGCTAACCAATACCTCTTACATTTTTTTCTGTCAACCATAAAAGACTTTATTTTCCCCTAAAGCCTATTTTTTGTCCCAAACACCTAGTGTACGAGAGGATTTTTCCCAATCTTCTCCAGCTTACCTTACGAACTTGAGATGAGAAAAGAATTCTCATGAACTTGTCCTTGCGTTGCAGCTCAGAAGTAACAGAGGTGAATGAACCCATAGCCTGAGAATTACCAGGATTCTTAAGAAATAAGAAATTTATCTATTATTAAAACAAGTCCAGAGCACCTTTACCATTCCAAATCAAAATCTCAAATATATATTCATAATAAAACTCTAGCTATTGTCCACCATTAGCTTAAGGTTAAAAGAAATCAGGAATAAAAATAAGGAGACAGAACATAGATATGCAAAAGGAAAACTCTCTACAACAAGCATAGCATCCTATAGGGTTCAATCACTGACATGCCCCAAAGCCGGGAAAATAGTAAAATGTTCAGTGACTTTCTGAACGTTATCAGTGTGGTAACCCTATGGGGGGATTGCTGCACCAAATTTTTGTTGTTGCGGTTATTCCAATTATTCTTATTTCCCCCACAACTGTCTGATTACAAAAATTAAGGAGATATAGGGGCATACAGAAAAATTCCAACACAGGCTTCCATCTTGATATATAGGTGTTTTTTGATTGGCTAAACATACTCCCGACATTCATATTGCAAGAGTGTCTATAATATGATTTTCAATTTCCAAACATATCCACTGGCCCAGAACCTTTGGAGACAATTCTAGAAATGTTCAAGCACAGTTGGAATATGGAAGTCAAACCTCCATTTTCAGGAGTTCAGTTTAGACTAGAATACACCCAAATTAGGTTGCCTACTGAACAATATTATCACTATTTTGTCTGGAGGAATTTCAGTTTGTCCACTTATATTAATTAATTTAATAAATCATTAATTTATCTAGACAAGAACTGGCACATACTTCTCTATTCATCTCTTACTACGTTTTCATTTTTTACAGTATTGCAAAAAACAATGACTGAATTTTGACAGGGTTCTGCTACCTTACCAAAGCAAGGTAGTTGCCCTGCCAGATCCTTTGTAATCCAATGTCCCCTCGATGGCCCTTAAGCAACTCCAATGCTGCCACTTTTGCCTTGATTTGTGGCAAATCTTTGGGTGGGATACTTTTGATTAGTTCATGTGCTCTCCATCTGAGAAAAAAATTAAGACATCATACGGGACTTTGACATAAGGAAAGGATTGTGAAACAAAAGTACAAAATTATCCATCGATATTAGTATTTCCATTCAGAAAAGATGTTCAGCTGACTCATATTATTAGAAATGTGCAATGGCACTCTTTCTCTTTCAGGATATGTGGTTGACATATCCTGAAGTAGCTTCTGTACTATTCAATCTACAAAGGTAACTCCACAGAGAGACGCTGATGATACTGTGTGTCCCTGACCAAGCTCCATAACTCAAGACAGGGATCTCCATTTCTTACCTGTAATAGATTGCATGTAGAGCTTCTTCAAACCGTCGTAAAACTTTTGGAGGATTAGGCCATTTCACATGCTTCCCATAATCTTTCATAGACTTCACATTTTGAAATCGCCGGGCAACTTCACAGATATAAGACTTTACTTTGTATCGACGATAACACTTTATAATCTTCAGGGAAGCTCGGGTCCTCTTGTATTGGAGTCGAGCTAATGTACCTCTCCAAACCTACAGAAGTAGCCATTCAGAAATCATTACACTGTGGCATTAGTTAAGCAATCCATAGCTTACCTTTATAAGCAACCTACTTCCATAAAAAATATACAATTGTTAATTGGAGTATCAGTTAAAAGAACCATAAAACACTTTTATATAGTGAGTTTAATGGGTCTAACTTTCCTAAGCTAGAAGTAGGATTGACTTCCTATTGCAATAATAATAATTTCTTCATACAAAATTAATTTAATTTCTTCATTTGTGCTGTAAAAAGGTAGCATTCTTAAATAGGATAATTTTCTCTACATCAAGAGAAAAACAAATCACTTAAGTCAAATATTTTAATAGCAAATCAAGAGAATAAATTTGCAGATTGTCTGAAAACCTGTGTGGTTAATGCAGTTAAAGTCAAGGAACAGATACATATTGATTTGTTATATTTCATGAAAATATAGATATACGTCCATTTGGTCCTTTTACAAATTTTCCACAAAAGACCTTTTCTCAGATAATTGCATGTACAAACCCTTCTGAATAAATTGCATGCCAAAATGCTATCTCGCACATAAATTTTACAATCTGACTTCCCAACATGAATGTTTGCAGCCAAGATTCAGAAATACCAATTTGTTACATTTCCAGGAATTATTATTAAGCAAATTAAATTAGAACTTGTCATGAATAGCTATTTAAATGACCACTTTCTCTAACCTAAAGGATAGTATCAGCCCTTCAAGGTGGATTAGATTTACGGTATGAATGCTAATATTTATTATGATGTTACATCAACAGAAACTTGTGCATCTGGATGTGCTTCCCCCCTCCCCTCTCTTTAGTTTCATGAGAACTATGGGATCATTGAAACATTCAAAATACATTTCTGTCCTGGATTCAGATATCTTTTATCAGATCATTGCCTGGGTTGGGACTGTTCAGGTTATTCCATACTGCCCATTACAGAGGGTGAAATCCATGGGTTCCCCCCTCCCCAGTTATTACATCTTATTGTTATGATTTCTTCAAAAAGCAATTTTTATAATATCATTAGTGTGCACTGAATTTAATGGGCTCCCTTTTAGCAGACCTCTGATACAATGGGCCACATTGACATCTCTCAATATAATGGACATATTTATTGCATCCAATACAATCCATTTACAATAACTGCAATGTCCTGCAGTTGTGTGATTGCCATTTTCAAACTTCCGAACTGGCTTCTGACAAGAAATTTTAATGGGGGAAGCCAAAAGGAAGTTGCAAGTCATGCTCATGTGACATGCAAGTCATTATCACATGATATACTTAATAAACACTGGAATTGCCCAGGTGCTCATTGCATTGATATTTCCCCTACTGAGTATTTATTTCTAACCTTCTTCTTGACTTATTTCTAACCACCTTCTTGACTTCAGTATGCTTGATGTTATCAGCTGGAAGGATGTCCAGGTATTTATAGCAATTGCCTTCATCCAGATATTGAAGTTATTTTTGTAGGATATCTTGATTCCTTCAGTTTTTACTATTTTTCCACATTTAATGGTAAGGGTGGGACATCTGTTCAGTCAAAATTCTACTGCAATAAGTTGGCTGTAAATATGAACAGTGTCAAGTAGCAATTCTATTTCAGATGCTCTTTTTCCATATAGCTTCAGATTATTCAAGTAAAGGAGGTGGGATAGCCTGACAATGTTTTTGGTGTTCGATAGCCATGGCCTGACTTATTCAGCATTGTTGACAGATGAATCAGTGCAACAGTAGTGAGTCTCCTTGGAAGATTTCTCACTTGATATTAATCTCTCAACAGTGTATAGCTGTTGACCAGCAATCACCTCCTCCATTATGCCATTGATCTTTGCACAAACGTCTGGTGTTTCTAATGATTCCTGTTATTTCTAGGCAACTGACTATGTAATCATGCACAGGAAGTCAATGTCTCCTCATAATCAATCCAAGCTATATTCAAGTTGGTCTTCCTTCTCTTGCAGTTTTCCAAAATTGTTGTGTCAATTAGTAGCTGTTCTTTTGTTCCTCTGTAACTTGGGTATTCTGTTTCTGTTCAGGTAGAAAGACATTGTTTTCAACTAGATGCTGTTGACCTGTATCAGCTTCCACATTAGTTAGCAATTTGAAAGTTGTTGTATAAAGGTAAATTGGTGAAAAAGGTAATTGGCCTGTAGTTGCCTGGTGTTGTCCTTTTGTTGACTTTTCCATTATCAGATAAGTTTTGCCAAATGTTAACTAATCTTCACCTCCTTGCAGTGTGTTGTTAAACTGCTTGGCAATGAATGAGTATAGATCAATCAAAACCCATGCAGGTTATCTTCACTTGGTGCTGATCAACTCTTGATTTTCCTGGCCCTTTTCTCCACTATTAGCGCTGTTATTACTAGTTGTTAAATTTCAACTTCTTTTTTATTCTTAATGAACTCCTCTATCCAAGATGTATTCTTGTTGTATTGTTCTTATGCTCAGAACAATACTGTTTCTTCTTTGTCAGGTGCTGGCTGGTTCACTGTAGCCTTTCCATTGATGGATTAGCAGAAACATTTCTGATTCAGCTGAAATTGGCGATTCTGCCTATAGTGTGCAAATTCAAGCTTTGTATTGGCTCATCTTCTTGACTATATTACACGGCTTTGTTGTTTCCAGTGATCTTTAATCTTCCTTGTTTCCAGGTTATATTTCTTGACCAGATATGCTTTGGTCTTGTTCTTTAGTTTCTCTTCTTTATTCATATTCTAGCTTGTTTGCATCTAATCTTAGCATGCTGATCTTATTTTCCAGCCTGATTTTCCATTTTGATGACACACTCTTCTCTAATTGCAGCTATGGTGTTGTTGTTGTTGTTTTTAAAATATAAGTAAAGTCTCCCATATGATATGGTGAATACAGACCTGTTAGTTCGGGGTTGTTGTTGTTGTTTTTTGCTTTATACTGATCAGTAGTATTTCTGCAAATAGTGTTCCCTTCACTCTCTACAAATATGAATTCCAAACTCCCATGAGGCTCATATTGAATTTCAGTTAGAAAGTAATGTTCTCTAAGACGCAATCACAATGGCTACATTCTATTCAAATTGCCTATTGCTTCCTTGGGATAATATTTGTTTCTTCTTCAGCTCAGCTTAAAAGGAGCCTTTGTTCCCCCTACTGGTATGCAAATAACTCCCATTTCCCTCACAAATGCTGAAGAACTTAAATTCTGTTCTTGAGCTGGCATTTTACTCTAGAGATGCATAAACTCTCCATTTATACTAGGATTAATTAATTATCCAGTGTAATTAGAAACATAACTATCAATATTTTATATAGATGTCAAAAAGCAGGCTTTCTTGTATATATACCTCTATAAATGTGGGTTATATCAAATTAGGAGAAGATGTAAAATACAGCCTAGGAAGCAATGAGAGACAACATTTACAGCAACTGAAGACCAACCTTCCTCAAGGGAAAGAAAGAGGGAAAGAAAAAGCCTTTTTGTAACATATATCATTACACCCCTATCATAAGTTTAACACTATCCAACTTGGATGAGACATATGTAGGAATTGTTGGAATAATTAAAATGAGAATTATGTATGTGAAAAACAAAGAAGTTTCAATGAAGAGGGAAGTTGCACCAAAATAAATAAATTGATGAGACATGTAATTATGGATTTTCAGTATTTCAGTATTTATTTGATTTGTCAATTGCTTACAAGATACAGGTATAAGAATAAATATAGTTTTGAATACATGAGATAGATAATTATAAGAAAAATAAAAAACAATAGGACAAGGATGGTAGGCACATCGGTGCGCTTATGCATGCCCCCTACAGGTCTCTTAGGAAAGGGGTGAGGTCAATAGTAGACAGTCTAAGGTTAAAGTTTTTGGGGTTTGGGGAAGAAACCACAGAGTCAGGTAGAATATTCCAAACATTGACCACTCTGTTGCTGAAGTCGTATTTTCTGCAGTCAAGTTTGGTGCGGTTAACCTTGAGTTTGTATCTATTGTGTGCTCTTGTATTGTTATGATTGAAGCTGAAGTATTCATTTGCAGGTAGGACATTGCAATGTATGATTTTATATACTATAATTAGATCGGACCGGAGGCGGCGTAGTTCAAGGTTTTCTAGGTCTAGAGTTTCAAGTCTGGTGGCATAAGGTATTCTACAATGAGTAGAGGAGCAGAGAACTCTTCTTGTGAAATATTTCTGGATTTTTTCAATTGTGTTAATATCAGATACATGATGTGAGTTCTAGACTGATGAGCTGTATTCAAGTATAGGTCTAGCAAATGTTTTGTATGCTCTAGTTAGTAGTGTGATATTACCAGATAAGAAGCTACGTAGGATTAGATTAACAACTCTTAATGCCTTTTTGGCTATGTAGTTACAGTGGGCTCTAGCACTTAGATCATTTGAGATGAGTAGTCCAAGGTCCTTGACAAAGTTTGGATCTTCAACAAGGTCTTGACTATTTAGCTTGTATTTTATTTTCTGATTTTTTTCTGTCAATATGTAAGACAGAACATTTATTTGTTGAGATTTGAAGTTGTTATTTGATTGACCATTCTGATACATAGTCAAGGTCTTTTTGGAGGGTAGTAGTAGCTTTACATCATCAGTGAAGAGAACGCAGTTGCTCTTAATATGATCACAGAGGTCATTTATGTAGAGTATGAAAAGAGTTGGTCCTAAAACACTGCCTTGGGGGACACCACTGTTGACAGGTACAGAATTTGATAGGATGCTCCCAATTTTGACCATTTGTTGTCTGTTTGACTTCTATCTGTTTGACTTCTATGCTTCTATCCAGTTGTGTAGGTGTCCAGAGATACCATAAGATTTTAGTTTTAGGAGTAGTTTGTCTTGTACCACTGAATCAAAGGCTTTACAGAAGTCTATGTAGATTGTGTCTATTGTTTTGCCCTGATCGAGTTGTGTAGTCCATATGTTTTTGCAGTGTAAGAGCTGCAGATTACAGGATAGGGTTTTTTTAAAAACCAAATTGTTTATTAGAGGGTAGGTGT